GTGGACGGAGTCGGCGAAGAATGTTTTACACGGAGACAGTGTTCAGAACTCTCTAGCTCTCTTTAGTCTCTGCGGATCTTCCTGTGCCTGGCTGAGGCCACAGAAAAAAGATGCTGAGGCACGCTGAGCCTTTATTTTTATAGTCAGAGGTAAACAAGGTAGTGGTTACCAAAGTTACACTGTTCTTGTGAGTTTCACTTGTTTACACTGTTCTTGTGAGTTTCACTTGTTTTTGTTCTTGTTGCACTTCCCTCAGCCCATTAGCTTCCCAGGTAAGATCTAGGGAGCATCATAAGGTCAAGCCTAATTATGCTAAGAGGACTGTGCCCTCTAAGCTGGGACTTGTTTGTGACTTTGCCAACAGGTGAGTCCGAGGCTTAACCCTATATCAGCTCCCCACAATTTTTAATCTTAAAAAAACAAGGATAATAACAATAGCCATTTTATGCCACATCTCATATTTACTTGTTACATGTTGCTATTTATATTTTTGTTAGTTTTTGAGAATGACTGTGATAGAGATTAGAAGTAATGTTTCTAAAATGATTGCTAAAATGCTTTATAAATAGTTGGAAATCAAAACAGAACAACAGCCATTATTTCTTACAACTTGACCTTAAACAATGTTAGTGGTAATGTTCTACTGCCTCAGTAACCATGACTAATTTCCATTTCACCTTTCATGAGCATGGCTGCTTTTCCTCTAGGAGGTGGTTTTCAACATTGGCTGCACATTGGGAATCTTTGGGAGCTTTAAAAATAAACTGATGCTGGGTTTTGTCTTGAGATTCTGATTTAATTGCTCTGAGATGTAGTATGGGCATTGGGATATTTTTAAAGCTCTGTGATGTTAAAACTATATAAATCTTGCTTCACTTCTCCAGCTCTTCCACCCTCCCCACAATCTCACCCCTGCTAAAACCTGTCGGGATCTCTGTCTTAATACTCCTGTATTCTTTCAATCTGCTACTTGCCTCAGAGACCACCTTGTCTAGCCAGGATCCCAGAGTTAACTGTGCATACAAAATTGTCACCAGCAATTATAATAAAATGAATATGTTTTCTTGTCACTTTCATGGTTTATAGACATTTATTTAAGTCACTGACTCATGAAGTCTTTGACAGATTCTCTTTTCTCCTTGAAATTTCCAAACCCATTAGTCAATCCTCAATGAGCTACTAGTTCAACACCTTTTCTCATTCTCTTCTATCAAGAATGGGATTACATTCATGATACTCTCTGGGAGAACAAAATGACTGAATTGAAGCCTTAAAACTTTTAACCCTCCATATCACATCTAGAATCTCTAACTTACTTATTAGAATCTACTATTTAATCCAGGAGAAAAATGTGAGCAAGTGGGACAAATCTTGCTGATGACTTATTTTATCTGTTTTTAGAATTTGAGTATATTTAGATGGACCAAGAACTTATAGTTGAGGGTAGGCTCTAACTTTTCTTACTTATTTACTGTAGATCATACACACTTGCCTACCACAGAGGCTTAAGAATAAAGAAGGACTTTAAATTCAGTGTTATTTCCAGTTAGGTTTTGTAAGGTTTCAAGGCATAAGTGCCAAGCCATTGATCTGGTTTATCATAAGTATGGTTAGCTTGGGTGTGTATCCAACTGTGAGTTAAATTGGCACTGTTGGATAATTGTTGGGCAGTGGGACCAAAGGGTGTTGAAAGGTAACTAGAATAGTCATTGCAGTAAGCAGACATAAGATTCTGAGTATGTTCATCTTGAAATTAGACTGAAGAACTATGAAAATGAATAATGTTTTCTTAGGAGTTTTTGTTCAGGCAAAAATTGGGTTATGATGGTAGTATTAGTAAATGAAAAAAAAAGTGATCAAAAGGAAGACCAAGTGTAAGAGTTGCTGGATGGCATCATGTATGACTGGCCTGGTCTGGGGTCTTGGGAGAACCATCTATGTCAGGTGCCATATGTTTTGATCCCAGAATGAGAATTCTAGTGTTAGTCTTAGATTGTTTAAAGATTTTCTGTTTCAGATACCCAGTAGGCTGACATAACCACTCAGGTGTGTGGGTACTTTTTAAATGAGAAACATGAATGCATAAGTCAGCATCCTTAAGTTTAGTGGCAAATAGGCTAATTAGTAATATCTGATATGGCCCTTTCCATCAGGACTAAGGGGAATCTTTATGGAGATGGTATTTTTTTAAATATATTTCTTGATTTTTTACAGAGAGGAAGGGAGAGGAATAGAGAGTTAGAAACATCGATGAAAGAGAAACAATGGTCAGCTGCCTCCTGCACACCCCCTACTGGGGATGTGCCCACAACCAAGGTACATGCCCTTGACCGGAATCGAACCTGGGACCCTTGAGTCCGCAGGCCGACGCTCTATCCACTGAGCCAAACTGGTTAGGGCGGAGATGGTAGTTTTAACACTTGGAGTGCGGGTGAATTTCCCGCCAAAATATAAGATGGCTCTGTCTTTTGGTTTTGTTCCATCCCACCAAAAGGGTGGATTACAAACAAATATTTGGTAATACGCAGTTACAATCGGCCCGAGTTTACACGTTTCCCGCACTCCACCGCAAATCTATATGAACCGAGTTAAAGACGGCTCCCGCGGAGTACGCGCAATTCACGCGAGCTGACTTAACTCGTTTCCCGCACTCCAAGTGTTACTAGACATATGCTCTGAGTTGGAGATCATGATATAGATTTCCATCTCCCAGAAGTGTGTAATGGAAAGATTCTGAGGATATTTTTCCATTGATTTTTTAGAGAGCGTAGAAGAGAGAGGGAAAGACAGAGAGAAATATTGAAATATTGATGTAGAGATAAACATCGATGTGAGAGAAACAAATGGATTAGTTGCCTCCTGCACAAGCCCCAATCAGGGCCTAGGCCGGGGAAGAACCTTCAATTGAGGTACCTCCCTTGACTGGAATTGAATCCAGGACCCTTTGGTCCACTGGCCGTCACTTTATCCACTGAGCCAAACCAGCTAGAGCTCCAGGAGCTTTCTTTAAGTGATTACCTCTACTTTTAATGTCCGGGGATTTTTATGTTTAATAAATTTGTAGTTAATTGGGTAACCTATAAGAGTTAATCTTAAGGGCCCTGATATTCTTTACAGTAAATCAGGAGGTTTCCTTTAAGCAGTGCAAGTTCATACATTCCTTGATCTAATCTCATTGGTCTGCTGGTAATACTTTCAAAAGGAGACAGTCTGTGTTCGCTGAAAAGAGTAGATCTTACATTGAGCAATACCAAGGGAAAAGCCCTAGGCCAAGGCAGATTGGAAGACTACACCAGTTTTGTCAGGTGAGTTTTGATTACCAAGTTAGTCACTCTATGAGACTGGAGGACTGGTGATGATGTACACAATGGAAATGTTGCAAATCAGCCAGATCTTATAAACATTGAATAATGTGTCCTATAGTTTGAGTTCCCCAGTCAATATGGAGCTCTGAGGAGATTCCCCAAGTAGGAAGGCTGTTCTAGGAGTTATTTTACTACTGAGGCTATGGCTCTGCAGTATACAAATGCTTCCACCCACGGAGAAAACATACAAATCATTGCTAACACGTATTTGTATCCTTGAATAGAGTTGACTTGCCAGTCCTCAACGGGGCATTAGCACAAGGGAAAATGCCCCATACAGGTATGAATGGGATTTCCTGGGTTGTACATTAGCCAGACTTGGCTTTTGTTGTATACCTAGGAAGCTATCTTGGTGATGGCTTTCAGTAGTATTGTTTCCCTAAGAAACCATTTTGTCAGTTGAGTGTCCCAATAAAGTAAGTCATATACATATTGTAACATATTATATTGTATGCAATCAGGGAGGCATGGTAGGTCATTTGGACCTACCTATCAGTTTCTTTTAGAGAATGGGTAGGAATCATTTTTCCTGCCAAGGGCCATTTGGATATTTATAACATCATTCATGGGCAATACAAAATTATCAACTTAAAAATTAGCCTGCTATTTTTGGTTAAACATTTAATTAACTCACCCTTAATGGCTTGACAAGGTCAGAACAAATGATTTCGTGGGCTTATACTACTTACAGGCCAGATGTTCCCCATCCCTGATTTAGGATGATATTTATAGCCTTTTCCTAACCATTTCTTGCTATTTCGTTGAACAGATAAATAGTGTGCTTCCATAATGTTATATTTTATATCCCCACTTGTTTCAACTGGTAGCATAGTTTTCATTAGGGGATGCTATTGTTTTAATGCTGCTAACTTAGCAGCAATGTCAACCGAGTGATTACTTCTACTTTGAATATCAAGAGATTTTTATGTTTGATAAATTTGTAGTTAATTGTATAATCCTTGAGTTCTGAAACATAAGAACTGTTTTTTGTTTGTTTGTTTGTTTGTTTGTTTGTTTTCTGGAAGAAGTCAAGAATTTCTGTTTCCAGAATGTACTAATGTAATGGGCAGCACCAAAAGCATACTGCTGTTAGTATCAATTATACCTACTTTTAGCCAAACTGCAAGCTTAGATTAATGCATAGCACCCTACTTGTTGAGCAGAAGTTGCCTGAGACATGACAACCTTGCTCTTTTCCTTTCTCTCCCCCATCTTATCCTTCTCCTCTCAGAATCTTGGAGAAGACACGTCTGGCCTTTATTGTCATTCCTGGAGAAGGCTTTATTTAGGCTTTTTGGACAATTTTTAATAAGCATGAACAAGTCAAAAAGAACAATAAATATTTGTTCACTAATATTGACTTCTCATAGCATCACTTTGATAGGTCATGCTAACAGAAGTCTCCAATTATTTAATCCAATGAAAAAATTACTTCCTCTCTAGGAATGCAGTGCACAGAGACAGGGAGAACACGGTGAGAGAAAACAAAATTCCAGTTGAATGAATTTACTGTGAATTTAATTAATTTTAATAATTCAATAATATGGTGAAAATGCATCCAAAGAAGAAGAGCAATGCTGAAAGAACATAATGCAGTTGGGTAAATAATTATAATAATGTTATTATTATTTATAGCCACAGTCTTCCTGGAGTTTTGGAAAAGAAGAAGAAGTACACTGACCTATACTTGGGACCTTATTGAATGGGAAGAAGAAGAGGTAAGATGTTAGGAAACAGAAGATAAGGAAACTGGGTTACAAATATTGCAGACAAGTGTTCATTGCTCTTAACATCTAAAGTGGAAGCAGCTAAACACAATTAGGCTTTCCCTTGATGCTTTATGACTAACAAGATTTCTTATTTAATGAAAAAAAATCAGTGATGAGATCATGTAATTATTTTCAAAGCATTTCTATGATATTTTCTTAAACTATATTACTGGAAAGTTGGGCTAATTAAAACATAATTTAGGGTTATCTGGAAAGTAATTTGCATCTTATTTTTCAAAATATGCTTCTTTGCCAAGACTTGATATAAAAATAGGCCAAAATGAGGGAATGTTGTATCAACGCAGGTAAAATTTTAAACATTTTTTTTACTTTGATATTTAGGTAACTGTAAGTTTCTCTCATAGGAAACACTTCGTCCCCAGTTTGAAGCAAAATATTACAAGATGGAGAGAGTGAATCCCATTAGTGGAAAACCTGAGCCACATCAGCCTTCTTCAGACAAAGTCAGTCGTCTTCTTGTTTCTATATCAGGAATATTCTTCATGGTAAAGTATAACCGTTAATATCAGAACGTTCTGGGCTTCCAGGGTTAGAAGGAAGTTCTAGGATGCCAACTCATTTTGTGACCCAGATAATGCTAGAAACCACATCCTGTTCAATGCTTTGGCAATACACACTACTAAACAGAATGAAAATCACAGCAGGTCACAAAGTGAGTTTGTGCATATTCTTAAGTAAAACACTCTGTGGGAGAAGCAGAGATCATCTAAGGCAGTGGTTCTCAACCTTCTGGCCCTTTAAATACAGTTCCTCATGTTGTGACCCAACCATAAAATTATTTTCATTGCTACTTTATAACTGTAATGTGGCTACTGTTATGAATCATAATGTAAATATCTGATATGCAGGATGGTCTGTGGCGACCAATGTGAAAGGGTCGTTCGACCACCAAAGGGGTCGCGACCCACAGGTTGAGAACCGCTGATCTAAGGTAAAATGGAAATTATATGAGTTGCCCTAATAAATTAGTTATCTTGTTTTAAAATGAAATATCCCATTTAATGGTAGAAATTTAAACAAAGTTTTCATTTTAGTGTGGTAATTGTATTACACAATAACAACTTAAATCTTATGCTACTTATTTTGACACTCAAGTAGCTTAGTTCCTTAAAGGAAAAAATGAAATTTATGTATTCATTTTTAGAAAAATAAATCTCTTCAGCTCAGGTGGCAGTATATTGGATCTATTATTTTACTTTTGTTTCTGTTTTGTTAATAATACAAAATACTGCTGTCTCTTCTGGTCTTCCACGCTGTAGATTTCTTTGGTGATCACTGCAGTGTTTGCAGTGGTGGTTTATCGCCTGGTTGTCATGGAACAGTTTGCATCCTTCAAATGGAATTTCATCAAACAACACTGGCAGTTTGCAACATCTGCTGCTGCTGTCTGTATCAATTTTGTAATCATCATGGTCCTGAATCTTGTAAGTATTTACAATTTTTCAATATGTGCAAAGGGATAGATTGTATTTATAGAAAGCCAAAATAAGAGCAAGCCATATTTCTGGCAAAGACTATTCAGTTTAGCAGAAAATATTTTATCCATATGGTTCAGATGATAGATTCCTTTAAATTAAAATAAATAAAAGTTGTAATATCAAAATTCCTTTCCCTTGAGTTTATAGTTTGATTGGTGATCATTCCTAAATGTCTAGTGTGTGCTAGAAAGATATCTTCCTTTCACTCAAGTAAGGAATTGTTTGAATTAGAAAACCATTCCAACAGATTTAAACTCAGAGGAGAATTTATTGGAAAGGTAAAGGAACATCTTGAAAGTGAAGGGTTACTCCATTTTTCTTTCTCTGAAACTAGCATTTTTATTTCTTTTCCTTTCTCTCTCTAATCTTTTCTTCTCTATTCTCCATTCTCTCTCTCTCTCTCTCTCTCTCTCTCTCTCTCTCTCTCTCTCTCTCTCTCCTATTTGCATGTGCTTGTCTACTCTGCTCTATCAGGAAGATAGCTATCTTTGCCTAGCCATGCCCTGTCTTTCTCTCATAGTCCAGTGTGCTGTGGTATCACCATGCTTTCTTCTTTGGCTCTAACTACATGACCATGATGATCAGCTTTCTGTAATTTATTTAACATGGATCATCCAGTTATTTTAATGTGCTGCTTTCTCAAAGACAGCACCTGATTTATTTAATATCACATACACTGTTTGACTTGTGAACCAGTGTCTATAGCTGAGAGGGTCACATTAGGCCTAGGCCTACCTCTTTAGCAAGGTTTATGGATGGCATTATTCTATTTTCTCTGTGTCTGAAGACAGGAGATACTGATTGGCACATTTAAGATAATGTCTTCAATTCATCCAACAACTCCACAAGGCCAGTATTCTCTCTATTAGGTAAGGGAGGAAACTGAGATTTGAAAACTTAAAAACTTGCTCCAAATCATGCATATATTAAGTGTCAGTGCTAGTATATTGACATAATGAGATAATTCATGTAAATAGAATAGCAGTACTACAAAAATGATGTTGATATTACATACCAGTAATAAGTATTTAGAGCCAAATATGGATTGACACTGATATTACATGTTTATTTAGCTTGAAGAGGCTTAGGACCATTTGCTATTTAACTTAAAAATAATCAGAGAAGGCCTTAAGAGAAAGGTGAATAGTCACTGTAATCAATGAGTAAGTTTTAACACAAGGGTTATAGTTAATACCTTCCACTGTAGTCTGCTTTCTTCAGGTTCATTTTCATTTGTAAAAGGAGAATGTTGTTTACAGCTTCTTGAAACAAGTCATACAGTATTTTAGTTTATGCCCTTGGCTCATAATTAAAGTGAACATTAAACACTGAAAAAAAAATACAGTACTAGGACTGGGAGGTTTATATGATAGTATAGGTTGTGCATTGCTCAAAGTTACCTCATTGAAGGAGAACCATTCATCACATAGCCATTTTAGATTCTTATACTTATGATAATACTCTTGTGGTAGATGGTGAAAGATCTCATTTCTAACAACATCATTATATTATGAGGGTTTTCCAGTAGACAGATTTGATTGTGGTTAGAGCCCCATTATCTCAAGAAAAGGAAGCTAAGTGGCTGATGTGTTTATTTCTAGGCAACACTAGCAGTCAGCCAGCCTGATCTTAACTTGAATCCATTTATTATTCTTAGTAAGTTGGTTGACATAAAAATGACTGGTCATAGTGCTGCTACCCATTATCTTATTGACTAGTGGAAAAATAGGAACCAAGGCACAATGAAGATTGCCTCACAGATGAAGCACAAAAGGCCCTAAGTAAGATAAGAAGGAAGCCATCAATTGCATCTGAAATTGAGGGGTGGGGTACAGCAGGGGTTGTGATAGTGGATCAGAGACTCGAAGGGAAAAAGAGAGGATCCTTGCAGAAACTGGATCATCATTTGAAGAAATTCAACCTACAGATGTAAAGAGGCACAGAAGTGTATGCTGTTTGTCTTGAAATTGCAAGAAGTGTCTATGAAACATACATTTATGGAATATATTAGAAAAATAGATCAAGAAATGTTAACTTTCTATTTGTTGCCCTTAATTATTTTAAAAATGTATTCTTATTTTTAAGTCTGTATTTCCTTTCTTTCAAAATACCAAAATTTTCTTTATTTCCCTATTTTTCTCATTATAAATAATAAAGTTAGTTTATGTCCCTTAAGTCCCTGAGATAGAAATGCTGATAATTTTTCCTTTGGTCTTGTTAAATTCTTCAGACCAACTTTGTATTTATATATAAGTTCTCACTCTTATTTCTTTAAATGTTATCTATTACTGATTCATGAAGTTTTAAGCACTCAGAGTGATCTGTGAAAAGAGCACAAAAAAGTTGTTGTATTATGTCTTTTTATCAAATAAATGTCTAAATATAAGGAAATTTGAAATTTTAATTAGTTCATATAGGAATCATAACTATTATGTTAATTTTTAGTCTTCCTATTTGTTCTTTTTTAAAGTCTATAATTTTTATCTTTCTTAACTTTGGATTATACATACACTAGAGGTCCGGTGCACAAAAATTTGTGCACTGGCCGGGGGCGGGGGGTTGTCCCTCAGCCCTACTTGTGCCCTCTCACAGTCTGGGACCCCTCAGGAGATAATGACCTGCTGGCTTAGGCCTGCTCCTGGGTGACAGAGGGCAGGCCCAATCCCTAGGTGCAGCCCCTGGTCGGGCTCAGAGCAGGGCCGATTGGGGAGTTGGGGTGCCAACCCCTGACATGTACAGAGCAGGGTGGATTGGGAGGTTGCGATGCCACCCCCAGTCACACTCAGGGTAGGGCCGATTGGGGGGTTGAGGTGCCACCCCCTGTCACACTCAAGGCAGGGTCAATGGGGAGGTTGCAGCACCACCCCCTGTCACGCACAGAGCAGGGCCCATCAGGGGGGTTGGGGCTCCGTACCCTGTCACACACAGAGCAGGGCCGATCAGGGGGTTGAGGAGCTCCCCCCTGTCACGCACAGAGTAGGGCTGATAGGGGAGTTGGGCACCACCCCCTGTCACACACAGAGCAGGGCTGACCAGGGGGTTGGGGAGCTCCCCCCATCAGGCACAGAGCAGGGCCTATCAGGGGGTTGGGGTGCCTTCCCCTGTCACGAACAGAGCAGGGCGGATAGGGAGGTTGTGGCCCTGCCCCTGTCACACACAGAGCCGCAGGGCGATCAGGGGGTTTGGGCACTGCCCCCTGTCACGCTGCTCTAGGGGCCAGGAGGCCTCGAGGCTTCTCTGATCCCAGTGCTAGGAGGCCTCGCGGCTCCACTTGACACCGGGGCAGTGAGGCCTCGCTGCTCTGCTGATCCCTGTGCTGGAAGGCCTCGCTACTCCGCTGATCCAGGTGCCAGGAGGCCTTGTGGCTTTGCTGATCCTGGTGCCAGGAGGCCTCGCAGCTCCGCTGATCCCAGTGCCAGGAGGCCTCACGGCTCCACTGATCTCGGTGCTGGGAGGCATATTACCCTTTTATTATATAGGATAGAGGCCTGGTGCACGGGTGGGGGCCGGCTGGTTTGCCCTGAAGGGTGTCCTGGATCAGGGTGGGGGTCCCGCTTGGGTGCCTGGCCAGCCTGGATGAGGGGATGATGGTTGTTTGCAGCTGGTCACACCCCCTTCAGGGTGGGGGTCCCCACTGGAGTGCCTGGCCAGCCTGGGTGAGGGGCTGAGGGCCGTTTTCAGGCTGGTGGGTGACTGAAGCTCCCAACCTCTCCTTTTTTTTTTTTTTATTCTGGGATTTATTTACCCTTCTTATGGCTGTCACTGGAACTGAAAGCCGGCTTTAACTCTGAGGCTTCTATAATTGAAACACTGTTGCAACTTCAGCTCAGCCGGCTGGCTGAAAGCATGGGGATTGTTTAGCTTCTATAATTGCAACATTGTTTCTTAGAGTGCAGCTCAGAGGCCTGCAGCGGCAGGCGGGGAACCTTGGCTTCCTCCATCACTGGAGCAAGCAAGCCTCCTGTTTGCTTCAGCTGCCTGGCTGCCGGCCGCCATCTTGGTTGGCAGTTAATTTGCATATCCCCCTGATTAGCCAATGGGAAGTGTGTCGTAGGTACGGTTAATTACCATGTTTGTCTATTATTAGATAGGATTATTATTAACAGTACAAAAACATTAAAAATATTAAGAAAGTTACTTGATATGATCCAAAATGCCACTCATCTCCCTTCCTACCATAAACTAATTGTACCCATTGAATATAATCAATGTTAATGGTTTCATGTTTATTTATTACCGATCTTCAATAGAGAACCCTGTGTTCCTGTGTTTGACAATTTGTTCCAAAGACCTACTGATCTTTAAAAACATCTTGAGTGAATTAATGAACTGGCCTAATATCTTTGAAGAAGGAAAATATTTCACAGACAAGACAAAGAAGCCAAATGTGATTAATTAACTTTTGCTTGGGAAAACAAGCATGACAGCTTTGGGAACAGAACCTGCAGATCCAGGGTTCAAGCCTTAGCTCCCACCCAAGTTCTTTTCAGTTAAACTGAAGAACTTGTCATGATTAGATCTACATTTGAAAAAATAGAAACTTTTATCCTCAAACATTTTCCATATAAAAGGCACTCCTATTGCAAAATTGAATTTGGCTGAGGTTTCCATTTTGTTCCAGACTCTTGTATTATATTATTCCAGTTGCTTCTTAATCACCAATCCCTTAAACTCTGACCCTGATCCACATCTACTTCCTAGCCTCAGTTACTCCCTTCCCTAGAATCTCAATTGACCCTCATACATGTAGTCAGTCCTCTCTGGCAGAAGGTTCACATGCAGCTTGTTCTCACTAAGTTTCTATTTATGATGAGGCTTAATATATTCTTTCTTCCAAACTAATGCATCTCTCAGATAACAAAACTGAACTGGAGTGTATCTCTACTTATGGAAATAAGAGCTCAATAGGGAGGTGAAGATAGTACTATTTTTGTCCTAAAAACAAT